AGATTTCCAACTGTCTCACACAAGTCTCATCAGGTTGTTGGAATCAAGATCTAATCAAAATCCTTTTTGCTTTATGCTTTTAGTATATAAGTCTCTTATGGTGTTTAAAAATGTTTACAAAAGTCCCTTCCCTTTTTATTTGTTGAGAAACTGTGTAATTTATTATATAGAATTTCACACACTCTGGATTTGACTGAGTCCCTGAGCTGTCGTGTAGAGTGCCCCCTAGCCCCCACGTCACCTGTAAAAGAGAGAATTTTTTAATATTTATTTTTAGTTTTTGGTGGACATGACATCTTTATTTTATTTGTATGTGGTGCTGAGGATGGAACCCAGGGGCCCGCGCATGCCCGGAGAGCTTGCTACCACTTGAACCCTCCCAGCCCCCTGTAGTTACATCTAAAGGCCTGCCGGGAGCCAGGATCAGGTGTAATCAGGGGTGAGGGGTACTGAGGACAGAACTTAACCACTGAGCTATAGCCCCTGTCCTTTTTATTTATATTTCTTATATTTTGAGACAAAGACTTTCTCACTAAGTTGTTGAGGGTCTCACAAAACTGCTGAGGTCGACTCCCTGCACACAGGGACCAGACCAGACTTGACATCTCGGGGTACATGGAACTTGCCTTCAGAAAGGCACAAGAGACTGTACCTCACCGGGAGAGACCTGGCTGCAAGGCCCAACAATCAGGGACGAGCTCCTGGGATCCACCAGAAATCCAGTAGGTATCTGAGCACAGTAGAGAACTTTCCCAACATGTGCCAGTGTGGTCACTACCTCCACACCCTCGGAAACTCAGAGGGAAGCAGAAAGCTCTGATGAAACCAAACCAGGAAGACCCAACGAGGAATCTCACCTCCTCAAAAAGCTCAACACAGAAAACCAAAAATAGTTCTAACGTCATCTTGATCTGACAGATGGTTTTTCATACTGAATCTACAGGGGTTCCCCAATTATTCAATACTGTAGTCCTCAATCTAATGCAATATATTTCTCCTGGTGTTTTAAAGCATTAAGGAGAATCATTCAATCAATAAATAAACACAGACATAAAAGCTGCTGGCTTCGGCCTTGTGATCCTCCAGCTCCCATCTCCGAGTGGCTGGAATCGTGGCCTGCAACCCCGCGCCCAGCCAGATGGAACATTGTGGCCTTTGTCACTGGTGCTACATGGTTTCTACGACATCACCCTGATTAGCTGAAGAGGTGACATTGAAATAATGACATAGATAACTAGATCACTAATGAGAAAGGACTCCCAACACGTTTCTTTTTAATGAGTCGAGGCCAGACGACTAGCGGTGTCTCCAGAACTCTAGTGGGACACTGACCATAGCCCTGCTATACCCAGCTGAGCAGCACCCAGAGCAGGTGGTGACGGCGCTTGAGACACGGCTGATGGAGAACACAATACTGGTCTCCCCTGATCAAAAGGAGAAAAGTGAGGAACAGAAGGAAAAATGGTGAGGACAGAACGGGTAAAGTGCCAGGAAATCAAACAAGATGCCCACTGGACAGTCGTGAAAGTGGGTCTGTATCTAGGGTTAGGAAATTGAAGTCAAGGCATGCTATCCTTTTCTTGTTTGGAGAGATGACAGAAATATTGAAAAACATTGGTCAATGTTGGAAAAAATGTCAATATTAAAATATTAGGAATAAAACTATATGTCACAGGTCTGCAGCACAATAATTGTGTAGCTAGTGGGGGCTCGGGAAGCTATCTGAAGTGGAGATGGAAGGAGGTTGGCATGAGCTGGAATTTTTTTTACTGTATTTATATGGGTTTATTATTAAGCTCAATTGCTTTAAAGGTCAACAGCTATTCTGATGTTCAGAATAGGATTTCTTAAGAGGTCATGTTTTGGAATTTTTTAAAAAAAATTTTGTTCTAATGAATTCTACATGATAATAGAATGCATTTTGACACTGTGTACACAAGTGGAGTCACACCAGTAGTGTGATCATACATGGATATAGCATAATAATGTCTGTCCATTCTACTGTCCTTCCCATCTCCACAGCCCCACCTGCCCCTCTGCACAATCCAAAGTCCCTTCATTCTTCACTACTCCACTTCATTATGGTTCAGCATCCACTTATCAGAGAAAACATTTGGCCTTTAGTTTTTTGGGACTGGTTTATTTCACTTAGCATGATATTTCCTAGTTCCATGCATTTACCTGCAAATGCCATAATTTCACTCTTCTTTAAGGCTGAGTAATATTCTATTGTGTATGTACCACACTTTCTTTAACCATTCTTCTGTTGAAGGGCATCTAAGTTGGTTCCATAGTTTAACTACTGTGAATTGAGCTGCTGTAAACATCGATGTGACTATGTCACTGTAGTATGTTTATTTTAAATCCTTTGAGTACAGACTGAGGAGTGGGAGAGCTGGGTCAAATGGTGTTTCCATTCTAAGTTTTCTGAAGAATTTCCACACTGCTGTTCAGAGTGGCTGCACCAATTTGCAGTCCCACCAGTATTAAATGTACCTTTTCCCCGACATCCTTGCCAACACGTATTGTTGCTTGTATTCTTGATAATTGTCATTCTGACTGGAGTGAGATGAAATCTTAGAGTATCTGTTTTGATTTGCATTTCTCTAATTGCTAAAGATGATGAACATTTTTTCAGATTTGTTGATCAATTTTATTTCTTCTGTGAAGTGTCTGTTTAGTTCTTTATTATTTGGTTGTTGTTGGTTTTTTTCTTGTGTGTGTGTGTGTGTATGTGTCATGTTTTTTGAGTTCTTCATATATCCTGGAGATTAGTGTTCCATCTGAGGTGCATTTGGCAAAGATTTTTTCCCATTCTGTAGAATCTCTATGTTATTTCCTTTGCTGAGAAGATTTTAGTTCTTGTGCTTTAGGAGTCTTGTTAGGAAGTCAGGTCCTGAGACGACATGGTGAAGACTTGGGCCTACTTTTTCTTCTATTAGGCGCAGGGTCTCTCTGGTCTAGGGCCTAAGTCTCTGATGCACTTTGAGTTGGAGTTCTGCAGGGTGAGATGAGCTGGGACTTAGAAATTGCAATTCAGAAAACAGAGATGCAGTGGGCTCTGGATAATTGCTCCCCGGCAGGTCAGACTGGATAGGGCTCTTGAAGGGGAGGAGGAGGAGAAGACAAAATTCCACAAACTGCATGAAGAGGGATGGAACAGGTGCAGTAGGCTAACTGGACACAGGCTGGACCTGACGCATCGCCAGGACTCTGGGTGCAGTCAGAGCCAGCTGCTCTGTTCACCATAAGGTCATGGCCTTTGCAGACTTGGCTGGGTTCAAAAGGTCACATTGCCCTGGCCAGTGCAAAGACCCACATTCCCAGGCTGCAGCTCCAAGGTGCCCAAGTCCTGGCCCTTTAATGGCCTCGATTCCGTTATGAGATGCTCTTTTAATGCCACAAAGGTCACGGACATTATTGCTAAAAACTTTACAAGGAAGTGTGTGTTCTGCCCCAAAGGAGCCACAGGGCATCACGCAGACCAGAAGTGGAGGTGGGTGAGGGAAGGGGCCAGGAATCCATGCAGGAACGCCGGCAACTGTCCCCAAGGAAGTGGCAGGGGAAGGAGGAGGGAGATGCGTCCAAGAAGCTGAAATGGTGAGGACCCCACAGCACAGCAGAGGGGAGCAGGACCACAGCGACCTTCCAGAAGTTAGTGGAGGCCTGGGAGGGGACGACAAGGGGCGGGACTGAGGGCCCCAGAGGGGACCACAGAGGCCACACCACTCCCAGGGCACCCGCAGGCACCAGTGTCCTCCAGCCACTCCCAGAAGGGGTCTGCATCTCTTAGCACCAGGAACTGGCCAAGGACAGTGCCTCCTCTGGCCTCCTGACCCCAGGCTCTGCCACAAACTCTTGGTTTTAGGAGGTCGCAATCTAGATTGGGCGAGTGGGCAACTCTGATTTCCACAACGGTTCCTGCCACCCACCCCTCCCATACCTCAAGTCTCTTAGAACTTTCTGGAAGTGCTCTTATGATATTGCTTTTCATGACAAGTTTCTCCTGGATTTCACACTGCGCCCTGAGACTCTGGAGAACAGTGATGATGAGGAAGGCCTCCCTCCATCCTGGTGCTCAGGAAGTGGCTGGCTGCACTTAGGGGAGACCGAGATCAATTTGGTGACCTGTGACAAGGCCAGACGCAGACCCTCCAATTACCCAGATTTCCATCCCACAAATGATAAGTCTGTCCACTGGCCAGTCCAGACAAACCGCCTGCTGACAGGACTCTGAACATTGGCCGACCCTTGAATTTCTGAGAATTGGGTCTTTAACCAAGCAGTGGACTATGGGGTCCCTCCCTGCCAGCACCTCAGGAAAAGCCATGAGTGGAAACCTTCTTTGTTCAAGTGCTGAACCACCCCACTCCCCAGGCCAGTTATTTCTAGACTTCACTTCTCCCTCTAAGAGAAAACCATTCCAGCCCTTTTTCTGAGCGCCTTGCAGACCTTGTGGTGTGACCTCTCTGTTATAGTACTTTTTAATAGGTTCTCTTCTTACCTGAGGCTAGATTTGATTTCACAGAAAACATGGGATTTTATTTTATCAATCCTTCCGCTTTTGTATATGTTTGGAAATTTCCATAATGAAAAGTTTTATGTAATATATGTTGACATTTGAGGAAAGTCACTGAAAGAATAGAGAAACAACCAAATCGCTCAGATACGCAGAATTCCAGCAGAAGGAAGGCAAAGAGAAAAATGAGCCATCAAAAAGGGTAATAAATACAAAAAATACAAATACCGTGTCTCCATGCTGCACACTCCAGCCACCTCCATAAACGGACACTCACAGGGTCCATCCTATTGGACTGGAATAAATGAATTGTGAAGCAGACCCTAAGAACCTCAGTTTCCAAATCACGTTCTGAGTCCTCCGATTCTGATGTAATTTTTATGTTTTGAGATTTTTGAGGGTTGAAAGTTGTGTCCACAATCCAATTGTGCTGGGACAGTGGGCTAGTTTGTTGAGAAGTCAAAGAAAACCCCTGGAGACGGATTGTGAGTCAGGATTTACTGAAAGACATGGGAAGGTCCGGACAGCACCAGCATGCCTCGTGATGCCGCTCCAGAAAGTCCAGTGGTGACAGGACAGACAAGTAGCACCTCTGGTGTCCCGGTGAACGCCAGAAATAGTGCTCCCATCCTGGATGGCACCCTGTTCAGTGGTGGGCAGCTGGAAAAGAGCTACTCATCCTGTACACTGTGTCCTCAACTCCACACGAGGGTCCACAGGGGTAGGGTTTTATAAGCTAGGCCACAGGCGCAGTGATGTCATCAATTTGCTTTGTTCCCTGTGTGAGCAGCAGTCCTGCTATGCGTGCAAGAAGCAGCTTTCTGCAGACAGCACCAATTTGCCCTCATTCCCAGCACACGTGAGCGAGCTAGTGTCTTTCAAGATAATATTTATCTGGAAAACTGCACCAGGCTTGCTTTTCCCATCCCCTTCAGTTGGCTCGGTTCTTGAGAACAGAGATGGGGATGGTGTTTTACTGTCCTCCTTTTCATGAGAAATGGCTTACTGGCTTTAGAGATCTGACTAAATAAATTCTCTCATTTTAGTTGAAGAGACACATTCAGAAAGGTAAAGCCACCAGTACCAGTAAGTCAGCAAGACCTTGTCTCAAACTAAAATATAAAAAGGGCTGGGGATATGTGGCTCAGTGGTAAATTGTCCCTGCTTAGATCCCCTGTACTAAAAAGAAAGGTAAAGCCACCTACTTATGGATGCATCTTAAATGATACTAGGAAAACTGGAAACCAGCTCTCCCAACCCAAACTGACACCCCCGCTCCCCCCCACCAACCTGTGAGTCCCAATTTATCAACAGCAGGACATTAGTTCAGGGGATTAATATCCCATTTGGTCACTCCTATGTGCAAGCCAAAAAAGTTGACATCACAGAAGTGCAAAGTAGAATAGTAGTTACTAGAGTTGAGGAAGGGAGCAGGGAGGAGAGGGCTTGGACAGAATACCAGAATACTCTGTAGCCAGTAGGATGACGATTCTTCACAACCTACTATACATTTTTATGAAGAAATAGAAGGGAGGATTGCCAAGGTTCCCATCACAAAGAAATGTATAAATTGTTAATTATCCTGATTATTGCACATTATATGCATGCGTCAAATTATGCTGAATCTCATATATGTACAATTATTATGCAATTAAAATTTAAAAAAAACAAACACAAGTCTTGAGAAGATCCAGAATTTCTGGATCACCGTACAATTGAAGACCAGTGTTGGGGAGGGTGTACTCCATGCTGTTAGTGGAATGGGGTGGTGGAGCTTTGAGGGCCATTTGTCAGGACCCTATAGACACACGCACTGTAAGAGTCTTGAAGGAAATACATTAACCCGCTAACAGTGATCACCTCCTCTGCAAGGAGAAAGAGTTGGTGGTAAAAAGAAATTTTTGATTTGTAAGTGCCTTGTTTATACTTTTCTACTGGGAATTTGTTCACATAGTTTAAGGATATTTTGTATTTCCATGGATATCTGAGTGACACATCTGGTGACCACCTTGTCGCAGTGAATTAGCGGTTAGGAAACAAGGTACTTGTAACCCTTCGTCACCGTTTTCTATGCTTGCTTTCACTGTCATCACTGGTTTTCATCACCTGCCCATAGGGACTTGCCTGTCCTTGGTATTTCACATTATCTCACTGCTGCAATTTCCCTCTAATTCGGTCTTGAGGTCTCCCGGAAGGGAGAGTGGCTAAACCCCAGGCCTGGCCTCAGCGGCCCACAGAGGTGCCGTGCACAGGAAATGGCTTCCTCCTCGGGACAGCCTGGTGCCTGAATGTCTGCACTGTTTAGATCTGGAATGTCCCGTCCCTGAAGGCCTGGTCCCCAACCCATGCGCTACTGGGAAGTGGGGGAACCTTTAGGAGATGTGCCCTATTGAAGGAAGTGAGGTCGCTGATAGTGACAGGAAGGGGACAGCGGGGCCCATGTGGTGAGCAGTGTCCTCTGCCATGTGCTTCCACCATAATGACGTCTTGTCATAGGCCCAAAACAGTGGAGAAGGACCATGGACAAAAACCCTCAAAACTGTAAAAAAGGAAAGAGTGACGTTGTCTCAAAGTTTTAAGCATTCTGTCATAGCAACCAGGAGCTGACTGGCAGTGTCCAAACCATGACCAAGCGTCCCTCTCCCAGGCATCCTAGGGCTCTTGTCTGACCTGCGTGGATTCTTACCGTGAGACTTGGTCTCTAGGTGAGCCCTGACTGGGCGGAGGGACACGCTGCTGTGTCCACCTAGTCCCCACAGGTGAGGCACAGCCACAGGAGAAATTAGAAGCACTTTTATTACTTACAGGTCCCCAAGACAAGAGGGGTGACTATGGGGCCAGTGTGAAACGCAGAGTCTACAGGGTGCTCAACCAGTGACCGGGGAGCAAGAAAGCAAAGGAGCCACCCATCAGAGGCCCTCAAGGGGACCTACGTAGGTAAATGTACTGGGCCCCGTTAAATACGTTAGGCCCAAAGGTCCTTTGCTCTTACTCCCAAGCACTGGCAGTCTGGATCTCTCACTGGCCCTTGTGGTCACCCTCTTCTCTTGTGGACCTGTGAGTAATAAAATGCTTCTCATTTCTCCCGTGGCTGTGCTCCCTCCCCCGTGCCTCACCTGCCAGGTACACCTGAGGGAGGCGTAAAGAGCTCGCCGGGAGAGCGGCTCTTCAGTCCGTGCCTGACACCACTCCAACCAGACACATGGCCGAACACGGAGCTGCCCCCGCTGTGCCTATTCCTCATGTGGCTACAGTCTGCTCTAGGAGCTGCAGGCAGCAAAACATGTTTCACTCACCCGCCTTTCACTGAGGACAAATGACAGGTTTGCTTCCCTAGTTCACCTTGTGAGCCAGGGCTTTCCACGGAGACCCAAGGCAGCGGGGACGGTGTGCACTCTGCTGGGTCCACCTAGTCCCCACAGGAAGCACATGTACCCCAGAACCAAGAACTAGATTTCAATTCCAGCCCCACTTCCTCTTTGGATCTTGGTGACCTTGGGAAAGTCTTATAAGTTCCTTGGGCCTACTTCCCCATCTTTAAAATTTATTAAAAGTATTTTATTAAAAGTATTATTTATTAAAAGCATTATTTTATTAAATGTACTAAAATGCATTGTTGAAGTATTGCCTCACTGTGAGGCAGAATGCCAAGATCGTTGTGAATCATGCCTGCCTGGTTCCAAGCCCAGACCTCTCCACGAGCCAGGTGAGCCGTGTTTGATGCTGGCTGGTGTTTCCTCCCGTAACGTGATGGAGGAAAAGGCTTCCCACTAATCTGCAAGCCCAGGCGGCACCTCGTGGGGTGACTGTGCTGGTGGGCAGGACTTCCTTGCCCTTGGGCTGGCTATCTTCTGGTGTCACGGACAGCTGAGAATTTTGTCCCTGCCTCAGCAAAAATACCAACGCTGTCTGAGCCACTCACATTCAGATGTCTGCTTCCACACCAGCCTCCCTGCTGGTCCTGACGCTCTCTGCTGGAGCCTGCACACCTCACTTTCCAGATGGCCTGCTGCAGGGGCCTGCAGTTTCACGTTGGCGAAGGGCGCCAGAAGCTTGATAGGACATCAAGTCTTTGGGCTTCACTTACCAGCGAACATCTAGTTTCCATCTACCTGAGGGTGACAAATTCACTTGGGGCGAGCTCCTGGTTCTGTGCTGCAGGACCTCCTTTGCTGCCGAGTTCTACACGGACCTCTCAGGGAGCAGCTCGTCCAGGGAGATGCACTTCAGAATATGGCTCTTTTTACTGTAATGTTTTGTTAAGACACAGGCAACTGAAAAAAATAACAGGATATTACTGAAGATGTGCAGTCATCCACAAAATGCCAAGGAAACCATAACCTGCTCAGGCTTTCTATACAAAGTACTAGCAATGGGACCCACAGGCCCTCCATTTTTGAGATGGGGCCTTGCTAAGTTCCCCAGGCTGGCCTGAAACCTGTGATTCTCCTGCCTCAGCCTCCTGCCCTGTTCAGTTATTTACTTTTGGAACTTTTGATTATTTGCCAGGAAAGAATGCCTCTCTTTCTGACAAGCTTTTATTTTCCTCTTTTCCCAACATCCCGGTTATTAGCTGTCCACAAAGTCGGTCTCCCTTGAGCCTGAATTCCACTTCTCAAGTCTGTTCTCTCGCTCCATCTCAGGGGTGCTTGGGGACAAGCACAAGGAGACCTAGCCATTAGGGCTTTAGTGTTATGTCCTCTGAGTAGTAAGGGCAGCATTTTGGGAATCAGCAAATTAAAGCCTTAGTCTGCAGTGGACAACTCCACAACTGAACCATTGTAGACAATATTTTGTTATAAGAGATGTTGTGTGATTTTGTGTACACAGCACACAATGTTTCACACATTTTATGTATATAAGTATACAAATACACTTAGGGAAAACCTCCAGACTATTTCTCCAAATGACTAACATAGTCAATAAAATAAAATAAAATAGAAGGGGCAAATTTATAGCCCTTAGAATGTAAACAGAATGGAAAGACATTTATTTTTTATGAAACTTTAGCGGGGATATGCCCCAAGGATGATCTGGCCTCAATAAAGGGCCAATTTTTTCTGTACCTAAAATGACCCAAGCAAATCATCAGACTTGGTGGTCAACAGAGGAAATGGTGGTCACTTGTGCTATAGAGCTCCACTCTCCAAAGGACTTGTTCATAACACCCCTTAGCAAAATGGGGCCACCATAGTGTATGTTTGAAAACACATACAAAGAACACAGTGAATGCAAATAAAAAAATTAGTGAAGCTATAAGCCACTTACAAATACATGAGAACTGTCCCCATACAAAAGGGTTCACAATCTGAAATGGCCATTTAAAATGGCAAATAGTGTTAAGGGTAACATTGTAAACCAACTCAAATATGGGGGAAAATATGTACTATACAACATAAAGTTTTTGAAGATTTTTCTTTTAGGTATGATTTGTAGAAAACCTAGGGACAGATTTTATGTCAGAAAATGGTCCATATCGCCCAAAAATGTCTTTTGACTGGATAGTAAAATAATACTTGTCGGAAGTCAATAACTGAGACAGAGTACAGGCCATTGGGAGTGGAAAAGCTTTGATTCCTCCAACTTTCTTCCAAATCAACGTGTTAGCTGAGTTCCCGTGGCACAGGAAGAGGTGGTAGCTCTCCACAGGAGCACACCTAGGGTCGACCTCGCTGATGTTCCAAGTCAGGGCGATGCCCATGGGTCTCCGTACACGCTTCACTTTGAGCTCTGGCTTCTGGGGAGGCAGTGTGTCCTGGATTTTGTCCACCAGTTCAGGGAGTAGTGGTGGTGGTTCTGGGAGAGGTGGCAGGTGCTCAAAGGAATCAAAACCCTAAAAGCATATTTGTAAAGAAGTTTAGCAAGCCAGTTGGCTGGGAACTGACTATTTTAAAGTGGTCTACTGCAGCTGTTCAAATATATATTTCCCATTCTTCACTCCTTTTATCGAAATAACAAACAGGATATTTCAAGAATATGTGAGGCTGAATCCAGGGTTTTTAAGCATGAGGCTCTTTTGCAGCTAAGATGTCTACATTCTGGAATATCACTGATCCAGAATGGGATAGGTCTCAAACATTCTGGATAAATATCACATCTTATTTCCAAATTGTTTCCAAACACTGAACTGATTTACATGAAAGTATTAGTATGAGAAAACCAATTAGCCTCAACCCTTTTCAACAATGGATATGACAAAACAATTCTTTCTTAATTTGTTAGATGAAAAAAGGATTTTAATATCTATAGTTTTTGTAAAATTTAACTAAATCATTTTAATTAAGTAAATAAGTAGACTCATGATAGCATATTTTAAAAGCCCACTGAAGTGTTATCAGTTGAAATGTGAGCCACATGTTTCTTCAAGAGTAAAACAGAGTAAAACAGATACTTCCCACTCAATTTGGAAGGCAAGTCCCTGACAGAGCATTTTATATTAGTACCTCAGCTGTATTTTCTGCCACTGGGATTATTTCTTTTGAATTTAAAGCAGCTTTCGAAGGTGACTCCTGGGTAGGTGCTGGAATTTCTGTGAATAACACAAGGTTTAAAAGAAGAAATATTTAGGTTGGTTGGTAGAAAATCTGCTTGATATATGTGAGGCCCTGGGTTCAAGCCCCAGCAATACTGCCCCCCTACACCAAGTGAAGTTTATAACTGGCGAGTAGTTCAGAAGGAGAGAGCTTGCCTCACATGTGTAGGACCTGGGTTTGATCCCAAGAATTACAAGAAAAAAAAATTTAACTGCAATAATCAATTCCATGGCTTTTAAGCAGTTTACATTTTAGGTGGTAAATATGAATTAAAATTATAAAACTGTGAAATATGAAGAGACTTCTAATATAAGTTCAGGATTCAAAAGTACCAATATAATTTTCCATTGACAAATATTTTCAATATTTTTCATTGACACGGGGTCTTGCTATGTATGAAGCTCAGGCTGAATCTGGACTTGGGGGCTTAAATGCTCCTCCCACCATCAGCAACCGCCTCCAGCAAAACGGAGCTCACCATCACATGCAGCTTCAAAAAGTCCCTCCTGGGACTCCCGCTAGGTGCCTGGAGGCGGGTACATTTCCACAGGGGAGAGATGGACAAAGATGTCTGCAAACCTAGAGCTCTTTGTGAACACTGAGTATGTAAGGCCCACCAGGCCTGAGGATCCAAATTAAAAGATCTCAGAGGCTGGGATTAGAAGAATCTCTACCAATGAGGTCTGTGTTGAACTGAAAGAAATCAGATATACACTGTGGAATGGAGAAAGGGGGAGGAGAGGAAGAAGAGGGCGGGAGGGGACTGAGGAGATGGGGTGGAGGGAAGGGTGTGGTGGGTGTGAGAGAGGATGAGAACACCTGGGGGAGTGGAAGAAAGGGAGCCATGCTGGAGCACTAGGGCGGGGAGACGCAGCAAAGTTCCAAGAGTTTTAACCACTTAGGTCTGTTGTGTCCGGTGGTATAATTGTGTGATATACTTAATGAATCCTCCAATGAAATCAGTATTTTCTCTTAATTTAAAGAATAAAATTCTGCACTTTATTTCAACGTTCATTTATCAGTCCCTTCTTTTTACTGGTGTTAAAAACCTTTCAGGAACGGGTAATGGCTTTATGGTCTGAATGCTCGTGAGTCTGTACAGACTTCACACTGACTGAATTAAACAGAACTGGATTTGTGAGAACATGATCTGCAGATCCTCAACAGGTCAGAGGTGAAACAACTTGACAAAAAGACAAGATTCTAAGAAACATAACTTACCATGCATAACACCACTTCCTTCAGGAAAATAAGTCAACAAATCCTTAGCAAATTAAAACAGACTCTCAACTTTGTGTAGATAAAAAAACAAAAAGGACTGTTATCCCAATCCCGCTGATGTCCCAAGTGATACCAGTATTGATGTCTTATACTCTCCAGCTTTCATTCTTATCATGAAAAACTATAAGGGTATCTGCAGGACTTTGTAGTCTCACAGCCACAATAGCTAGAAACCCATTCAAGTGCGAGGGGAAAACTGGCCTCTGCTTTCAACTGTTTGACTGCCGGATCCTCTACTGCATTAGGCACCTGTGTGGATACGCACATCCACTCACATTTTTTAAAAAATATTTATTTTTTAGTTATCGGCGAACACAACATCTTTGTTTGTATGTGGTACTGAGGATCGAACCCGGGCCGCACGCATGCCAGGCGAGCGCGCTACCGCTTGAGCCACATCCCCAGCCACATTATTACTTACACTGTAAGAATTATTTTTAGGGCTCAAAAGAATTATTTTTAAAGTTAAATCAAAAGAATTATTTTTAAAGTTTCTACTTTATATTGAAATGACCAACTGAGAAATATAGTTTTACAAACAGTAAAATCTATCCATTTTAAGCATAATTTTCAAGTTTTGACAAATGTATACACTTAATAAACCATCACCAAAATCAAGACACAATACTGTATCACTCAAACACCCAAAGGTTCCTCAGTAACCCTTCCCCCGCCTTTGGTTGTGGTTTTAAGGACGGAACCCAGGGCCTTGTGCATGCTAGGCAAGCACTCTACCAACTGAGCTCCAGCCCAGCCACTAGCATCCCTTCTCAAACCTCCACCCACACCTGTTTCCATGAAACCATTGGTTGGTGGCACTGAACACCAGGTTTAGGGCCAGTCATGGGGGTGTACAGCTGTAACACCAGCTATTCATGAGGCTGAGGCAGGAAGATCACAAGCAAGCGCAAAGCCAGAGTAATTGAGATCATGTCTCTGAATAAAATAAAAAGGGCTGGGGCTAGGGATGAAGCTCAGTGATAGAGCACTTGCCCAGCATCTGTGAGGCTCTGGGTTCCATCTCCACCAACAACTAAACAAGAAAAAAACTAAGGTTGCCTTTTCTAACATTTCACATAAATTGAATTACCATAGCACATAGGATTCTTTTAACCCAGCCTGGTTTTTCTGAAACTTATACACTAATAACAGCAATATTTTGTTTGTTTATGGTTCAGTGTTCAGTTGTATGGATGTGAACTCTTATTTGTGCATTCATCTGTCGATGGATTAACAGAATGGATTAACAGAGTCATGATAAGAGTATAGGTGGTCAAGAAACTGCCTGACTACTTTTTAGTATACTTGCTTACCCACAGCATCTATGGTAAAAGTATTTAATTGTTCATCATTTTAGACCTTTTATGTTTTCTAATATGAACATTTAATCCTAATAATTTCCCCTGTCAGCATTGTTTAGCTGTATTGCATACATTCTAATATGCTATCTTTTAATTTTCATCCAGTTCAGAATATTTTATAATATTCCTTTAAGGTTTCTTCTTTTACTCATAGGTTTGAGAAGTCTGTTTAGTTTCCAAATATTCAGGGATTTTCCAGCTACATTTCCATTATAGATTACTCATTTACTTCTTATTTATGATCCAGAATCTGATCTCTTATTGCATGTTACATACACTTAAAAGAATGAGTGTTTGATCATATATTCTAGATCTTGCTGAGAAACACAGCAAGATCCTGTCTCAAAATAAAGTAACAAATTTGTAAAAGGCCAGGAAAGTAGCTCTGTGATTGAGGAGTACTTACCTAGCGCGTGTGAGGCCCTGGATTCCAGCTACCAGTACCCCTGCACACACAGACAATGTGGATTTCTGGTGTGGGTTAAATATTCTAGACATGTTGACAGTTTACGTTGCCCTAAAGTCTTTCTTTCTACATATTGATTACTGGGGACTGCTGAAATCTCTAATTATTATTGTTCATTTTCTATTTATGCTTTGTTCCTCTGCAGTTCTGGCAAGGGGTGTGCAGTACTTAGTGATCAGCAGCCTTCTTCCTCACTCACTGGTAACAGCCCTTACCTACTTGCCGTAACAGCAGCACCACCCCAGCTTTCTTAGGACTAGCCCTTCCATGCTCTCCCACGGCTCACCCTCCACCCTCTTACCTCTAACCGATCTGTGTGTTTATATACAAACTGCATCTCTCATGACGTTTGTTATTTAGTCTGACAGCATTTGCTTTCTCATAGAGTGTGTAGACCATTTATTATCAACAGAGCTTTAAATCTACCATTCTGCCTTCTCTTCTTCTTTAATCTTGTTTATTCTTTGTATGCTTTTTTGTGTGGCTTCTCTTACTTTAGAACTCGATCTCCACTGTTGGCTAATTTGCTCTGCTACTCTAGGCATTACCATATGTTAAATCATATTCCATCTTTAACTAACACGGTTCCACTCACATAGTGCTCAGCCTTCACCCAGCACCCCGCCCGCACGCCTCTAGCCGTCTTTTGCGCTGTAGTTATTGTACATTAACCTCGGCATATATGACAGAACTCCACAAACTGGTGTTACATTTCTTAGCATAGCTCCACTTTCCATCTCATATCATTTTCTTTTTACTTGGAGAATTTTATTTCTGATAGTGAAAATCTGTTGGCCTCATATTTTAGTCAACTTGGGCTGGGGCTGGGCCTCAGTGGTAGAGCACTTGCCTGGCAAGTGTGAGGCACTAGGTTCGATCCTCAGCACCACATATAAATAAATAAAATAATGTACTGTGTCCATCTATAAATGAACACACCACACACACACACACACACACACCCCACACACAAAGTTTATTTTCCTTCAATTTTTGAAAGATATATGCTAGATACAGAATAAAGTGGACAGTGATTTTCCCCAGTCTTTTAATGATGCCATTTGATTTTATTTAGAGACAGGGTCTTACTGTGTTGCCTGGCACCTCATTTTGCTAAGGCTGGCTTTGAACGCTTAATCTCCTGTCTCAGCCTCAAGCGGCTGGGAATACAGGCCTGTGTCACCGCGCTCAGTGGTATGCTTTTCTTGATGTTTATCTTCTTTGGAACTTCTTTTGGCTTGTGACTCATGCTTACTAAAATAACACTAATTCCCAGCCCCAGATTCACTTTTTTTTTGCTTAAGCTGGAGAAAAAGGGCACTGCTGTCGCTCTCCCTAAGTTTCTACCTTCATGTCCTGTTGTGTTATGTCTTTTCAACCCCTGCTGTCAGGGTTAGGGAAAAGGTATGTGCCATGAGGAGAAGAGATCCATAATGGCCCCAAACAACGCAGATGTCTTTCTTTTCTTTTTCTTTTTTTTAAAGAGAGAGTGAGAGAGGGGGGTGGACAGAGAGAGAATTTTAATATTTATTTTTTTCTTAGTTCTCAGCGGACACAACATCTTTGTTGGTATGTGGTGCTGAGGATCGAACCTGGGCCGCACGCATGCCAGGCGAGCGCGCTACCGCTTGAGCCACATCCCCAGCCCCGCAGATGTCTTTCAAAGGGTGGATGGATGAACAAGCTGTGATACATCCATGTCATGGGCTACTACTTGGCCATAGAAGGAACATACTACCGATATACAACAACATGAGCAGCACTCAAGAGCACTGTGCTAAGTCGAAGTCAGTCTCAAAGGACATGGACTCTACCATATTTTCATAACATTTGTGAAAAGACAATTACAGTCATGAAGTAGTTACCAGGGATTAGGGACTATGGGCAAGAGGCAGGTGTGACTATAAAAAGGACCATGAGGAAGTCTTATGGTGACAATTCTACAAATCTACACATGTGATAAACTGCATAAAACTATAAATATATGTACTTTAACACATAAAACAAACATCATAAGTTTCAAAAGGTCATTTTGAGTTATGCTTCCCACTTTCTTAAGAAAAACAAAAAACCTTTACCTGTGTTGAAGTTGGACAGGGCTTCTTTGGTCAAATCAATAACAAAATCAAGTTTCTTCTTTACACTCTGAAAAGTCATTGTTAAAAAAAAAATAAGTAAGGTTTTGCTTTAAAAGCAGAGAATCATTTTTAAAAGATGAAACACAATTTTAAACTAACGTTTCCCCACCTTTTGGCAGTGCAGGAGATGGAAAGGTGTGTGCATGTTGGAAGTATCCTACGATGAGGTGTACCGAAAGACCTAAATTATCATCTAGAAGCTAGAAACTGAACATTCTCTGAGTTTCTTATCGTTTAACTTAATTATACAATAAAAGAGAAGCCCTTATAAAATACTGCATGGTTTCTGAGAATGATTAAGAATTCACATGTACTGGTAAATGGGTGAATGGGTATGGTCAGGAAATATGTTCATCACTAGCCGGCTGTTATTCAGTGTGTGAGCTGTACTGGAACCTGGTTAGGCTAGTTAGTTAGTCACTAATACAAAGTACAAGCTGGCCTGGAACCTGACTATATGAACTAGCTGGATATTGATTTGTGTGCCTGTCTCTTTCTTTCTCTCTCTCTCTCATACACACACACACACACACACACACACACACACACACACACACGTGGAGGTGGTGTAGGGGGAGGGTACATGGGATATACTACCACATTCCCATCAACTTTGCACAAGAATCAACGACAAACACCAAGGTATCCAACACAGAGCAACACTAAAGATCCTAGAACAAATTATAATTTAAGTGAACAATCTAAGACAATGATTACTACCTACCCTGACTTCTGGTGTAGCATTTGGTGAATTGTTGAAATTTCTTGATGCTGTTTTTCTAATATCTGAAAGAAAATTATTATATTTTTAAAGTATTACACATTAATAATCTTTGTAATATATGAATTATGAAACAATAATAATGGGGACACTGATTAACTTTTAATTAAGTATTGATTTTACCTATTCCCAAATCTGATGATCTAGTTAAAAAAGTTAATTGGGTGTTAAAAGAATCTTTTCTTTCTGTAACTCTACAACATAATAGTAGCTCTGAGAATTATTTCAGCATTTGAAACCCTACACTTGACTATGGAACTATTTATTGTTTTAACACTGGGGATCGAACCCAGAGCCTTATACACAAGCTATGCGAGCGCTCTACCACAGAGCTACACCCCAGGCCCTCTTTGCAGATTTTTAATTTTGTCCAGTCTGGCCTGGAACTTGTCATCTTCCTGTCTCAGCCTCCCAAGGAGCTGGGATTACAGGTGTGTGCCACCATACTCGGCTGCAACTGTATTGTTAAAATAGACTGCCCAGATGGCTGAAAGGCATTCTTCCTGGAACCAGTTGGAAGACTCAATTATAATACTTAGCATCTTTTGTAGCTCTTTGATTACAAACTGTGGACACAATTAAGTAGCTTCATAAATGGAGGCAAACTTTTTAAATTAAGATTCACTACTCTAATAAAGTAAAAACAGGAATTTTGGATAAGAACTTATGGGCTGAAAAATATGTCTATGTTTAGAGAAATTTAAACTAATAAAAAAGTGTTAAAAAACAAAAACGTTAAAAAACAAAACTGACAAACTTTAAATGTAAAATAAAGTGTAAGACAACTTAATAGGTAAAAAGGCAAGAAATAAAACACCACCAGCACCAACAGAAGGTCAAGGCAAACGATTTAAAAAATCATATATAATTTTTTAACTTGAAAATCATTAGATAAACACAGTAAAGAAACAAAAGGATAGAAATTGATAAAATACAAGATTAAAAAGAAACATCAATTACATTAAAGAGTCATGTATTTATTTAGGTATTATTAATCACAGAAATCAAAACATTTCCAGAGTAGGCACATTTTTTATTTTAAGCTTTCTAATTTGATAGATCATATTCTAATCATGTTAAGATACCTGTTGGATTTGATGTAACTGGAGTTGTCAAATTAGGACTTTCCACAGAAATCAACATAACATCATCATTGTTACTAAAATGATAAAGAAATTAAACATAAACTAAACATGCATTACCAGGCTTAAGCATGCAATTAGTGGTTAGAATTCCTTTAAGTTATTATTTCATAACATGTTTTAAGTGAACAACCATTGGATGGAGGAGATAAAAATGAAATACTTAAGGAACCCAAGATTTCCAATTCATTTATATAAACAAAAGGACATAGAACTTCAATACAATATATCCATAATAAGTTTTATGGGTCTAGCAGCTCAGTGTGACCCTGCCTCTGAATAAAAAAGGTTTGGGGATGTGGCTCAGTGGTTAAGTGCCCTTGGGTTAAACAAACAAACTTTTGAGATCTTTTCAAAATGACTCCAAATATATATATATAAGTAGACTACATAAAGATACTCTCTACATAAATATGTAATTATCACTCTAGACATGTAGGTACTTTCATAAAAATGAAAACACATAACTGAACGAACCCCATTAAGACTCATAAAGGCACTTCTAACTTTTGAAGATGCAGGACTATAATAAATAATATTATTTTAAAAAATAACAGCAACAACTCTATATTAAGCCATAATTTACCAAAAAATGTTCTAAACTCAGGCAAGGATAGCGACTGATGTTTATGGTTAGAGAATATCTGAGCCAGAACATCTTTTTCTGCCCTTTTCACTCCAATTTTATAAGTTCCACATTTTAACATCAGAATTTTCTTAAGAAAACCTTGAGGCAAATTGCATAAAGTTAATTAAATGCTAAAGGAATTTTCCAACAGAATTATACCATTCTCTAGTACATGTCTTATATATTTTTAGCGTTTGTATTTAGGTCTATAATTCATTTTAAGTTGATTTTTATATATGGTTATGAAGAACTGAATTTTATTCTGTCCCCTCTCGTTATCCACACATATCTGTGGAAAAGGAAATCTTTTCCCTATTCTCTTGACACCTTTCCACTACACCAACAGATGACATCTGTATGTGTCTGTTGATTTATATACTTAGCCGAGACCAATACCGCTGTCTAAATACTGCAGCTTTACAGCAGGTCAGGAACTCAGGCAGTTGAGTCTTCCAATTTTTTTTTTAATAACACTGTTACTCATCTGGATACTTTTAACCAGTTTGTTACTTTATAGAATAAAGGTTCCTGGGAGTTTTGGATTGCATTCAATGTAATTCAACTTGTGGTGGGTGGGAGTATCATCTTTATAATGGATTCTCTTAATAATGATTCAAAAAATGTAGTATATCCCACCACTTATTTACATCTCCTTAAAAAAGTTTAGCAATATTTTATAGTCTCTCTCTCTCTCCTTAGGAACCAGCCCAGGCCAGGGCCTCCCTGGCACACGGTAGGCAAGCACTCTACCAATAGGCAACATCCCCAGCCCACTTTGTAATCTTAAAGGCTTTATACGTATTTTGGTTTATCAAGTACATCACATTCTTTGATGATATTCTAAATTCCCATTGTTAATTGTCTGTATAAAGAAATACTTGAGAGAAATACATATATAGAAAACAGAAAGAGGGCTGGGCATGTGGCTCTAGCGGTAGTGCGCTCGCCTGGCATGCGTGCGGCCCGGGTTCGATCCTCAGCACCGCATACCAACAAAGATGTTGTGTCCGCCGAGAACTAAAAAATAAATATTAAAAATTCTCTCTCTCTCTCTCTCTCTTTAAAAAAAAAAAAAAAAGAAAGATACTTTTACTTACCCATATTTACTATTTCTGGAAGTTTACATTACTTTATATAGATCTACATTTCTCTCCAGTACTATTTTCCTACTGCCTGAAGAACTTACTTTAAAATTTCCATTAGTCCAGGGCTGCTGATGATCTATTCTCCCAACTTTTTTAGTTAAAAATGTCTGTTTTTCCCCTATGCTTTTATTTTTGTTGGATATAAACGGTTTATTTTTAATATTTATTTCTTGGTGTAGTTGGACACAATACCTTTATTTCATTTATTTTCATGTGGTGCTGGGGATCAAACCCAAGGCCTTACATGTGCTAGACGAGTGCTCTACCACTGAGCTACAGCCCCAGCCCCATGATTTTTAAGATACTTCTCCATTTCAACATTTTATAGATGTCTTCTAGTTTGAAGTCAGCTGCCACTGTAAACCTTTGTTCCTTTCTATGTGATGTCTTTTATCACTGGTTGCTTTTTAACGTTTTCTCTTCCAGCCATCTGAAATATGGACAGGTTGTCACTGTGTGGTTTCACATTTCTTCCACTGGGGTCTGTTAACTTTTTTGTAAAGTTTCCACCAGACACTGTATGCTCCACTGCCTTTTCCGCCCTTCCTTAGTGATACTCCAAACACACCTACACAGAGGCGCTCTCTGAAGCGCTGTTCATGGCTTTTCCGGTCTTTTTCTTCTCCGACTCTGCACCATCTGCTGAATCCGACACATGCACTGGTTCTAGGTCTACCACTCATGTTCCTCCTCCTGACTGGCTCTCATTTCTGCAGCTTTACATTTCGGGCAATTTTTTTACTTGAACTGTGCTGTTTGGATGGGGACACTGCTTCATTCCTTCTGCACCTTTCCTATTTCATTGATCTTTAGAAACACTAATTCACTACTCTGATGTTAATTCTATCCAGTCCTACTTTTTGAATCACTGTCTTTTTCATTTCTGAGAGTTCGGCTGGGTTCTGTGTCTTCCGTCCATTTCTCACATCTTCACATTCCCCTCTAGACCGAGTGTGGAGAGCAAATGGGGGGCTCTGCTGTGGCGCTGTCTGTCTGCTCAACCCGCCATGTACAGTGGCTCAGGTTGATCACTCACGTTTCTCCTTGTTAATGGGCCCCACTTCTGCAGCTTTGCATTCCTGGCCATGTTTTTAGTAGCTGTGTGCTATTGAGCAGGGGGTGTTTCATTCCTCAGCACTGGATTTTCTTCTGGCAGGCAATTAAACTTTTTGGGGATTATGAAGAATCTTTTGAAACTTGCTTTTAGCTTTTTAGTGTGAGGTCCTTTGCAGTCTTTAGGACTAACTTAGCCCCACTGAGACATAGCCATCTCTGGACTTTACCAATGGCTTCTTAAGTCTATTCATCTTAGTGGGAAATCAAAATATTGGACTTCCAGAAACTGTTTGGTCTTCTTTCCAGTAGTTCTCTCTTGCGCCTCAGGTTGCTTCCGTCTTGTGTGCGAGGATCCATTTTTAGGCAATGATTCAAGAAATGTCCTCCATGGGCCTTCAGAGCGCCGTCTGGGCACTTTCTTCTCTGGGCTGTACTGAGACACAGATTCTACCAACTCTCGTCTCTGGGGGACCTCAGCAGGACCACCCAGCTCTGGGTGACTCCCCCCTCTGCTCTGCCCCCTGGAACGCGCCTCCAGGCAGTAGGCCTGTGTCAGGGTTCCTCACTGTTGCCCTGAGGTCCCTACTGGACAGTGTGTCCCCACAGACTCCCCGTTTTTAGACTGCTCTTACGGTATTTAACAGCTACAGGTACTGAGCTTTTACCATAATGTTTCATCAGCATAAGCAGAACTTTCTACATATTTATTTTCATTCTGTGAAATGAACTGTTTTTATGCACATTTTAAAATGTGGATTTAATAATTTTATGTAAAATTTATCAATGAGGGATTCAAGTGTTTACTATTATTTGTAAGAAACAAAATTAACATTCTTATCTAAATTTCAAGTAGATCTTCTCAGAGGCTCATTACACTATAGTCAAAATCCCTTATCCATCTCAAAATTCTTCAGTAAAGTCTTCTTTACTTGGTAATATAGTACTTCAACTATAATGCTATTTAAGTGTATAAGAAACTAAAGGCGGAAAGTTTAAGACCCTGTATGTAGGAGCTAAGTATCAACACCGACACCCATGAAGGTCAGGGAGTCAGGGTGAACCGTCTGTGAAAGACCAAGTCTCGGGCTGGGGAGGTGGCCCAAGCAGTAACGCGCTCGCCTGGCATGCGCGGGGCGCTGGGTTTGATCCTCAGCACCACATAAAAATAAAAATAAAGATGTTGTGTCCACCGAATACTGAAAAATAAATATTAAAAGCTTCTCTCTCTCTCTTAAAAAAAATGTTTTTTTGAAAAAAGTCCAAGTCTCAGGAACCATCCAGAATGAGAAAGAGGAAGAGACATCATCAGATCACAACAAGCCTCAAGTCACACTCAACAGGCGAGGGGTTAGACCAGTTTATCTGACAAGCACAAGAAAGATGAATGTGTCTACACCAAAATATTTAGAGCCTTAACAATTGTTCAGGGATTATCAAATATGCCAGACAGACTAAATGACTGGAAATTGACAGAAAAAGAATAGAAACAGATACACAGGTGATCCAAATACAGGAGTGATAAAACAAGGCATTCAAATAATTATGATTAATAGTATTAAGACATGGAGGGAAGCCAGGTATGGTGGTGCCTACTTACAATCCCAACGACTGAGGCTAAGGCAGGAAGACAGAAGTTCAAGGCCTGCCTGAACAACTGAGCAAAGCCCTGTCTCAAAATAAAATAAAAAGGGGTGGGGATGTACCTCAGTGGTAGAGAGCTTCCTAGCATGCAAAAAGCCCTAGGTTCAATCCCAAGTAACACACACACACACACACACACACACACACACACACGCACACATACACACACACACAATGAAGGAAAAGATGGTGAAGATATTTAAAATGAGACGGAGCATTCATCAAAAAAGTAGAATACATGAAAAGAGGGCTAACTGAAATTAAGTACAGTATATACAGACACCATTAAGGAAGGAAAGAGACTTGGGAATTATAAAGATATGCATACTAAATACATCAGATAATGAACTTGAGAAAAGGCAATGCAAGATGGAATGAAGCAGGTCTTACACTTCATGAGGGACATACAAGTGGCTAACAAATATGAGACTGTGTATTTAGTTTCATTCTTAGAAAGAAAAACAAACTAAAACCATATTGTGATACCTTTCAGTAGTATATCTAAAATCAGAGACAGATAATACCAAGTGTTGGCAAGGACAGGTGG